TATTGGGGACTGTCCTTTGTGTGAAAGATTCAGATCTAAATATCTTACAATTGACACAGCAAGTCAAACTTCAGTGGTCACTTTTGGCACCACCATCAAAAGGAAGGTTTTGGTGTTGCTCTTCCTCTCCCCACGCTGCTGGCAGAAGTGTTTTTGCGGCAGTGTAGTAAACTGAATCATAAAACTGCTCTGAATTAGCACTGTCCTCCCTCCCCCTTCCAGCCTTGGTTAATTTTAACCTTGAGCTAGTTGAATAAATGCTTGTTTTTGCACAAGGAAGAGGGCACACAGGGGTGTGTGGTTGAGGGAGAATAAGAAACTATGGCATAAGTGAAAGTAAAACTTTTGAATAAATGCAAAGTCCTATCTTTAGGGCAATGCCAAAGTTGCTAATTTTAGCTTGAGTGTAAAAGAATAAAACGGATTAAGTAAAAACAGATGCAAAGTCATGAATGAAAAGAGGGCAGAGAGGTAAAACTCGAGCTATGATTATCAAAGAGCCACAGCTACTGGTTTGTATTACAGGAGACGCATTGGTCAGGAGCTGATGTGTGATTTAGTTGTCTCTTGTACGGCTCTCCCCAGCAAATTTCAACTGGGTTGTAGTTGAGACAGAGAACTGTGTTCTTTTATTTTCTTTTTTCCTAGACTAACAGTTTGTCTCATGTATGAGTAACAAGTCACAATCATTAGCTCGTTTGCATTGTGGCATTTCTTGGACAGCTCCATCTGTATCACGATCATCTTATCCTTTAAGGAAATCTTGTCAGCATCAACCAAGTTCTTATAGCTCAATGTTTTCCATTTCCAAGTCTTTGAAGTGCTTGTTCTATGCTGTTTTGCAAAATCATTAGTGATTTTTTGCTGCGTTTCATATTCTGTTGTTAAAATAGTATTGGAATATCTTGAGCAAAATTCCATAGCTACGAGTTGGACCTTTTGCATCATCATGCATCAGCAGAACGGTAAATAAACTCTTGGGACTCTTGATATTCTCTTGGTTTTGCAAATGAATGAGGTAAATTAATTTTTTGAGAGTTAAAAATTAAATCCAAAGTTGTACTTCATGCTAAGGGAAGACAGTGAGGACACAGAACAACAGTGTGTTTAACTTTCAGTAGGAATTTCAATTTCCCAATAGATTTTTTTATTGTTTAGAAGTTAGGATTTACTGTGGGGTTACTCTGTCTTGACAGCCCTCAAATGCTGGTTTCAGAATGGAGGCTTCTGAAAGCCTTATTCTTATGAGTGAGTCCCTACATCTTTGTTATCTTTCTCACCAACACAGCCATGGGACTTGTGTCAGAATCTCTCCCGGAATAAGTATATTCAATAGTGTTTGGTGTGAACTATCACACTTGTGAACTTGCACTGTGTTTCATACAGGAACATGGCTGTGCAGATTGCAGGCTGTAATTGTTGCATACTGCCGTTGTCTAGGTGGCAGCTCTGTTCTTGCAGAGTTCAACCAGCAGGTAGTTGGTAATGAATGGCAGTGATGGGTGCTGTTCCTTCCCTAGAGTGCTGTTAAAGGTCATTTGGAGAAAGAAAAAAAAAAAAATCAGGATTTTTTTAAAATGTTAAAAAAAAAAAAAAAAAAAAAAAAAAAAAAAAAAAAAAAAAAAAAAAAAAAAAAAA